TTTCTAAATGTTGGAGCTTGGCCTGTTTTTCAGTGTAGTCCTGTTTTTCTGACTGTGACTAACTGGATGTCAAGTCAAGTCAGTTTATTTATATAGCGCCAATTCACAACACAAGTCATCTCAAGGCTATTTACATGGGCTTTCTGTGTGGAAGTGAATCTCTGAGTACCTGGAACCAAGCACCTGTAGTTGTTTGTGAAAGTGCACTTGTGCATGTAAAGTTTATCCAAAGAAAATATGCTCAATAGTGGTTGTGGAGAGCCGAAGAGGCGCAGCCCCAGAGCGCTGAGTACAGTCTATGTCCATGTTTAAAAAGCCATTACAAGGCTTTTGTTGGGCTACTCTATAAAAGCCTGGAACTCAATGCTAATCCAGACATCTAAATTGAAAAACCTTCCTGGATGGGAAGAGAAACGTCTTCAAACTTGTAAAACAAAGTCCAGTGGAATGCTTTTTTTCACTCTAATTTTTTCTGGAAGTCATGTACTTCAATGATTGTTCTTACTCTGAAGTATCGTGCAGGAGTTTCGGGAAACTTTTGTAAAAAGAAAAAAAAAATAGCAGCTTATGTTTAATGTTACTAACATATTGCCAGCAAATTTTCAAAAAGGTTTAAAAAAATGCATATTGCAACAAAAGAAACTATAAACTCCTTTGAATAAATAACTGCCACCTTAAAGAGTAATTATTTTATTTCTACCTATTTTATTACGTGAAAAAAAAATCAGCATTGCTATAACTAGCCTCTAAAAATAGGTAATTTATTGAATTATGCCTCCCCCCCACTCACATTAACTCCCCCCTCACATAACGCATGTTTATAAAAAAGATTTGGTCGACAGCTCCTCCTACCTGAGAAACTTATTGAGATCTCCGTGTTTCATGTACTCAAAGACCATGATGAGAGGGTCTCCATCCACACACACGCCATAGAACTTGACGATGTGCTCGTGCTGAAGGTTGGTCAGCAGCTCCGCCTCATGCTGGAAATCCTTCCTGGCTGCAAGCGTGGGGTCCTTTAGCGTCTGGAAACAGGAGGAGTTGGTGTCACATTTCTACATTTGACTCGACTAAATACATAATTGTCATGATTTTGGTTCTGTTTAAGTTTTATCTTTGAGGTTTCATTGTTTTTATTTTGTTTCTCTCTCCCATATATGCACCTCCTGCTTAGTCACTGTTGCTGGTTTGTCGTCATTTCTTTGACCCCTTGTGAAGATTCCTGGTTTTCATTATTTCTGGATTTTCTTTAACCCTTTTTGTTATTAAATCTCCAAGTAACCACCTTCAGCTTCAGTGTCTGCATTCGGGTCCCATCAAGCCTCCTCCCAACATGACAATAATACTACAATACTTTTTCCATCTCCAGTTTACAGCTTGTATAAAACTGTGCTGCTCATCTCTGACTAATCAGATCGCTTTAGGATACATTTTAATCTTCTGTAGTTTGTTTTTAAAGCAGTCACTGGCTTTTCACCACCCCATCTACATCAGAGTTTGAATACAACCAGCCCAAAAGTGCTTCAGGAACTTCTGGTGAACTTCTGCTGGTGGTTCCTCGCTGTATGCGATGGGGGTCCTGTGTTCCCTGACAGACGCTGCTTCACTGTTCTGCCTCCCCTAAAGGAAAAGTCCACTCATATTCATATTAAGTGTTTTTAATTCAGAGTATTTTTCATTTAAATGTACTTTACTGGAGGCATCCATGTTTTTCAAAGAACACTACTGCCACCTACTGGTTTGTGACGTCACGGTGCGGTATCGGCTGTTGATCAAGTCCCAGTGCTGTATCTGGTGTTTGTCACAACGCGCTATTATCCAAGTCATCTTGAAAACATTCTTCTTCTGTCATGGTCCAGGCTCTGGTGGCTGGCTTGATTGCTCATTACATCCACCTGTTTAGCTCTGCCTGTTTTCTTATCATATCTGATCCACCTGTTTTCAGCTCCTATATATACTTTTTGTTTTCCAGCTACCACTGCCAGATTATTCGAGCTGTTTGGTGAGAGTAACTAGTGTTTTGATTATTATTCTGATTATTGGATTCAGACCTGTTTCTGTCCTG